CCCGCCCCCCCGGGAGCCGTTCCCCCCCCAGGAGGGATGCAGACACTCCTGCTCCATCACTCCCCCAAACAGGCTGGACCCCCCCACCCCCAGCCTCGCAGGCCGGTGACCCTGGGGGGGACGGGGCAGGCACCGCAGCATTGCCTTCCCCGATGGGGAGCGCTCCGAGATAACAGGCAGGGAAAAAAAAGCAAGCTCAACCCTCCTCGCCCAAAACCTAATCTTGCATTAAAGCACGCCGCGGGCTGTTTCAGCAGAGCTTTGTTTGTTCTTTTTTTGATAACTGAGCGTAAATTAAACTTTCATAAGACGCAAGGAACACGTCCCCTCTGCCAGGAAGCGCGGTGGGTGCCTGTCCCCCCCCTCCCCTGGGGCGGGAGATGGTGCTGGGGACACGGGGCTCCCACCTCGCCTGGTGGCATCACCGAGCTAGGATGGGCACAGCGGGGCCGGCGTCAAACCTGCAGACACCCACCCACCCATGTGGCGTGCCGGGGGTCACCCGGCCCCACGGGAGAAGGGAGGATGCCCTTTGGGAATGAGACCTTGAGTGTCACGGCTGATATTTAAAAATGATCCCCAGAGGCTTTAAATAAGATATTTCAATTCCCCAGAGCTGTCAGGAACCGACGTGGACACCGGGAATAATGGGCCCGCTCTCCTTGTGGCATCCTCGTTAATAAATCACACGCACACACCGTGACTCCTAAACACACGCATGCATGTGGACGGACAGACGGACGGACGCATGCTCAGCACGCATGGTCCCCGCAGAGACCCCCTGCCACATCCCCTCCAAACCCTCATCTCGGGAAGGGGCCAGCACAAGGCCCCCGAGCTGCCCTGTGGGACCCAAACCGCCCACCCTCGGGGTTCCCACGCACCGAGCACCCACCGACGCACAGCCCCACCGCAGCACCTCGTCCCCGTGCGCTGGGACCCGGGGGCTGGGACCCCTCCATAGGCACGGGGAGCCTTCGCTTCCCCGCTGGGGACACCCCTGCAGCCCCCATTAACGGGGCTCGCTCCCCACGCCACCAGAGCCGGAGGAGCCGAGGTTTCGCACACCCTGAAGCGGCTGAAAATAGCCCGGAGAAATCAATTACCGGGCGCAGCCTGGCCCGCAGTCATCAACCAGCTACGAGCAGGGACTTTGTTCTCTGGCACTCGGCTTCCGCGGCGGCTTTCAGCCAAGATGGCTCTGATTTGATTTCCTTCCCCATCGCGCCCGGCTGGAAGGGGACAGCGACCGATTTCACCCCCGTGCAGGGGGATGTGTTGCGGGCAGGAGGAGGGGCGAAGCGTGGAGCCCCAGCACCCCACGCAGCACACCCACACCCCCCCAGTTTGAGCAAGCAGGAGCGGCCACGAGCCACGGCCACCGG